AGAATGCTTTATGGAGAGGGTCCAGATTGATCTGACTGACATGTCCCATTCACCAGATGGAGACATCCATTGTATTGGCCATTTTATGGATAATTTTTCAAGATTCCATGTCCTGTTCCACTCCTGCACAACTCAGCTGAAGAAGTATCTCATCTACTGGAGGAACGTGTACTGGCCTACTTTGGTTCCCCAAAAATATTTTACTCAAACCATGGAAGAGAATTTGCAAACCAATTAATTTATGCTATGGTGATATCACCTTTTTTAATGGACATTCTCAAGATTCTCAGTTAAAGAACATGGCTTAAAATTCTAATGATGTTGTGAAATTCAAAATTGCAGTCATTAGATAAGGATTAACAGGAGACAAGTATCCATGGACATTGTGACTGCCTCACATAATGCTTTCCATGAATAGTGAGCACAAGGAGAAAATTTGTGACTCTCCCTGCTGCCTTGTATCACCACGTGTGTTTACATTAAACCAAGGAACGAGTGAAATCGTCACAGCTGTCCCAGGTTGTACTTGTAATAATCTCAGCTTGTAAGTTAAACAAGACACACAGGTACTGTTCTCTTCACTCGTTGTCCCTTGGTTTAATGTAAACACGTGCACGTGGTGATTTTCTAGTTATATTGGGTAGTCATGTCTGTACAATTATTTGGTATTGACAGACTAATGAGCATTAGCTATTAGCTTGTAATTAACTGATATAATTAGAGAGAGGCACAGCCTGGAGAGCTGGTCTCTCGACACGACTTTAAGTTATCATGTCGGGCTGTGAACTGCGGGAACTGGGCTGTACTCTCGAGTCTGGTGCCTGGAGAATAACCCACCCTTCAACACAGACATAATCTAAACAGCCGACCAACACACGGAAGGTTGAGTCTGTAGATTTATGGGCTGTACACCCGAGAAGGTGTGAAAGAACAAATGTTTATGGGCTGTCCACCCTAGAAGGTGTGACAGAACAAATGCTTATAAAACTGTATGTTCAATAGTCTGGGTGATAGAATGTATATAATGAATATATGTCCTTAGCCCATATTTATATAATATTAATGTGACAGAGGCTAATACACCCTGCAAATGTGATAATTTCTGTAAAACAGAGATGAAGATAAAAAATAAATTACAACATAATAACATGGGTGACAGTATAAAACAAAATAATGTTTATAAAATAGACAATAATGTACCTTATTTGTACATGTGACAGAAGAAATTCTTAGTCATAGTAGTTAGTACCCTCAGCAAGCGTGACCTCACAAATTGCCTGGCATTTAAAAACACAGCACCATGCAATGTGTAACCAGGTGATAGCCTTAGGCTGGCTTTCCATGTGTTGCCAGTGTGGCTGGCAAACCAGAGGTTGTGTAGAACCCGCAAAAGAAAATGATAATTTCAAAATAAATGGAGCAGAATTTTTACCACATATGGTACAGGAATCACAATACAATACTCTACAAAATGCACACACCACAGTAATCATTGCTAAAAACTTAGTGTGGCCCATTATGAAGTCTTGTCATTCCTTAATAGAAACCAATTTTTTAACTTATGGTGCTCTTCCCAGTTATCTTTAGATAATTTAAGGTGTTCCTAAGGGAGGGAGTAAATCTATTAAAAAAAAAAACACCTTTATTTGTAAAGATCTTCAAAGATACTGTACAGTATATGATATTTGTGTAGATTAGGACTAGGACTGATATGTCGGACTAAATAAAAATTCATACCCCTATTAATTATCTATCAGTTTCTAGTGGTACCTTCAATTATGCAATTTCACATTTACATTTTGCAGATCTTTGTGATGATAATTTCATACCCTTATATCAATAGATGACAAGTGCCTTTCAAATACAGTATTAGACCCATGTCAAAAAAGTAAATTTGCGTACACCTGCATGCCTGAAAAGACCACGGTGAGCATCAATTGTTTACATCTCTCCTTCCATCATTACCATACTGTGTTGCAAGTGTATAGGTATTGCAAAATCACCCAACATCTCCTTTGTTTTGCAGGATGACATTTCCCTTTAGCTGATCACCTCAGCAGGCCAAAGTGGAAACATTGAACCCCCCTTGCCAAAACCTGGGACACCAATGTCTGACTACAGTGATATCATAAAGTTGTAACATACATGATTTTATGTAACTTACTTGATTTTCTATTAAATGTGATTTTTTCCAATTTAAAAAGCAGTTATTCTTGTACAAATGATAATACAGTATATTCCTACAGTATGTGTGTGTGTGCAGGAGTGTAGGAGCAGGGGATGGGTTGTATAAACCTAACCCACTATTTTCCAAGTTTTTTTTTTCAAGTTTAATAAAATTTTGAGTTATTTTCATACTATAAGGTTTAGCAGAGGGGCAACGTGAAATATAGCACGGGGGTCACTGTGAAGTTTAGCAAGGGAGGGGTTCATTGAAGTTTAGCAGGGGAGGGGGTCATTGAAGTTTAACAGGGAAGTCACTGTGAAGTTTAGCAGGGGGATCACTGTAATAGACATTGGCTTCATTTGCAAGCCCAAAGAATTTTTATAATTATAAAATACTGATATTTAATACTAAAATTAGTCTTCTTGAAAACTGATGCTTAAATATGTATTGCTAAAATTTTTATTTGTTCCATATTTAGTATGTACAGAATACAGATAAAGAGCTTTAAATGGAATACCTGTATATAAACTCATCAAATTTTTTCATTACAGCAGCACTGATATATATAATTAATGAAAGTTGCCCATGAATCTCACAAACAATTCATTATTAAAGTTTCTGAGATAAATCCTTTAGGTGAAAGAGAGAGATTTGATATAAAATATTTATCATAAGAAGTAAAGTACTGTACTTAAAATAAAGCATACAATATTATACATGGAACAAGAAACCCTATGGTACAAGCACATTAATTGTACAGTAAACTCTTTGTGCAGAATTCATGAGACAATATCCTTTTACATTATTGCAATTTTCTCCACCTGATAATTGATTCATTAGACACAGCACTAAATAGTACATTTCAATTTCGATTGACTTAATCTGAACATGAGATTAACAATAATGTCAATACAAAACTAACATTAATACAATACAGTACAGTACAGTATACTAGTTATTAAAGTAGAAATGAAAAAAATCTGGTTTCATCCACAAATTGTGAGTCTTTTCACACGTAAGATTAGAATATAACATTGGAGTTGGGAACTTGACAAGAGAGACTGCAAGAGATCATGCAGCATGGGGAACTGCCATCAGGTAATAGCGGCTAACGCATGTAAGTGTGGAAAATAGCTGTAAAACGATGATGATGAAATGTTAAGGTGGATAAGTTTATATTAGGTTAGGCTGAGTTAGGTTAAAGTGGATTAGTTCACCTGTCACTAACAGGTAAAGTTAAATTATTGTGCAGTTGGGAACTTTTTCAACTGATACACTCAGCATTGTCAATTCACCTTCTCTGTGAGGTGTGAGCCCCAAGAGTATCGACTTGTAAATCAGAAGCATACAGTATATATGTAAACATATATGAGGAGTCACAGAGCAGGCACATCACCTGCAATGTTTGGGGATGGATGTCTCTATCCCTGGTGAAAGGGACATGACCCAAATTGATGGCAGATTCACTGCAAAAAAGTATTTAGATATTTTGCACAACAGTTTTTTTCCCTCCCTTTGGGAAAAAAACTGTCTTTTCTCCCCTGGCCCCATTGTTTGTTCATGATCAGTGATCCACACAGCCAGAGTGGTCTAGCAATGGTTTACTGGCCAAAACAACTTGCAGCTGCTGGATTGGTCTAAAAAAGGGCCACTGAAAATTTGTGGGTCAACATCATGAACACATGAGAAGACAGCTAGGGAACCAGGGAGAAAAGATCAGAAGAATTATTTGTCCACATGACAGCAGAATGGGAGGTGTTTCAGAACAAGCCTCAACTCATCATGAATCATGTAACCTCAATGTCTGGCAGGCTTAAGGCTGCTGTTGAGAGAGAAGGTGGTTGGACACGTTATTTATTTTAGGACTAGGGATTCCACGAGTGACTATAAACCTATGAATAAATTATTGCCTTGTTTTTGAGAATATATTTGTCCTTCATACTGGAAATAGAAAATTACTATGAGAATGTCAATGACCAATAATGAAGTACAATAAGTGGAGGAAATAATGGAATATCTGTACACAACTTATCACAGGTACAGTTTATATATTTTTGTAAATAAGTCATATGGATTGAAATTGTATTTCACACCATACTTATACATACTACTGTACTGTACTGAATATGCACTGAAACAAATGATTTTTTTTCATTAGAAATTACAAGGAATATTAATAAACATACAGGTATGTGTGTGTGTGTGTACAGTATATATGTATGTGTGTGTGTGTGTGTGTGTGTGTGTGTGTGTGTGTGTGTGTGAGAGTGTGTAGTCAAATTCATGGGTGTTATGTTGAATAATAATAAATCACATCTGTATGGCGCCTTCCTAAGCCTTAACCTGCACACTACCATAATAAGGCTACGACTACAGTACTATCAACCTATGAATGAAAGCAAGAGTAAACCACTCAATGAATAAATGGCAAACAACAATATTTTACCAAAAAACTGACAATAATTCAGTTGCATCCCATGCTTAAGTAGGGACCCATTACTGGGGCTGTTATTTGTAACTGATGTGTAAAATGACAAAGCATATAAAAACCATAATACATCAGTTAGACTGCTAGCTTGACTGTATTAAAACAATAAGCAAACAAAAATTGCTTGGAGCACGTGGAACTGCTGCCAACTGAATAATCATTGTCATTCACATTCTAATGTTATTTATAATAAACGTAGTTTGCCAACTTCTTTGATATGCTTCAGATTCATGAGTTGATACTCTCAGGGTTCACAACTCATGGGGAGGTTGGAGTGCACCAGTCGGAAAAGTCCACAACTGTACCTTGAAGATGTGTAAAAAAGACCTATGGGTACGTAAAAAAAAAAAAAATTACAGCACTACACAAGGAAAAACATACATACATAATAAAAAATAAAAAAACCAGGTGGGCTTCCAAACAAACCACCCATTTATAGGGTATACCAGTTTCTAAATATCTGAGAAGGGTAGAACAAAACTGTATTACTTTGGTAATATATAAACTTTGTACATTTTTAAATATAGTTTAATTCAATTTTCATGGGCTTTACAGCAAACATGGTTATGACAGTATTTAACAGTACTTTACATGAAAACTGTAGTGTATATGATAAAATTTGCATCTGCAAATGAAGTTTAGTGTGTGCGGCAGAAGATGGACCCTACGTTTTCAGGGCACCCATTAAAAAAAAAAAAAAAAAAAAGTTTATTATGTCACTGGCTAATTAATCTTTCTGTCATTCTATCTAGCTAGTAACCTTAGAAAGAGGGGGGGGGGGGTCATGTATAAAAGCTTGGCCATGCTTCTGTTTACTCAAGAAGTTTAGGGAAAAAATAAAAATCCCACATTATAGGGCAATCAATATGTGATTTTTAGGGTGTTTTACTTATGTTTTAGGTTGGTAAGTGTAGTATCAGTCCCCAAAATAAAAATTTGTTTGTGGGTGTGTTATTAAAATTAAATAGTGTGAGGCTCAGGGGCCCCGCAAGCATAAGCCCAATGCTGTGTGTGTGTTTTTCTTATGTTGTAAAGCCCATAGCCAATTACATTTATGATAAAAGCTGTTTCTAGGATTTTTTTCAGTGAGACATACAGAATGTGAAGAATAAAAAGTTTAAAATATATCTGATATCTGGAGTAAATACTACTAATGGACATCAAAGACAGGAGTGACTCCAATATGTAATACAAATTATAACAATGAGATATATGATGAATCAAGTTGATGAGAAAGTAAACACACTTCTGTCAATATGCACTTAGTTTAACTAATGATGGGAAAAAATATTCATTACACTATCTCCTCCATTCCTGTAACAGTTTTCAATCTGACCTAAGCTGTAAGTATAGTTGAGAACAGGAATTTTCACTGTACATAATAGATATCAACTCAATATTTTCTAACTACTGTACAGGTTTAGCCAGTCACTCATAGCAAGACTAGAGACTGACTAATCCTTTTTTTGGAGATGCCACACACAGTACCATTTGATAAAAATATCCTTTATTCAAAAAGTCTAACTGCAAAAAATTGTCATTCACACTAAAAATGAATGGTGGTGAACACTTAGAGGTTCAATTTTTTGGAGCGTATATTCTTCGCCTTCATTGACCTGGTGACTCTCATGCAGGGTGAATAGTCTTTATGGATGACAGAAGAGCCACGTACTCGCTCCTTCAGAACGGTTGATGCCAACACTTTCTGATCGACTTTTCCTGTTGAAAAGAATAATATACATTTACTGTACGGTATTCCTATAATTGTACCTGCACCTAGTTTACTGTTTGTCAATTTTTGTTTTTTTAAAGAAAGCTGCATTTGATTTGCTATTTGCATTAAAGAAGCTGCTAACTACAACTTTTTCTGCAAGCAAAACATCAGAAAAAAAAAAAAAGAGTACAGGTTGGACCAGATAGTTCAGCAGCGTCAATGGTTAGGGAAGCATATAGTGAATACTGTACTTGATCTTATGGGGAAAATTAGGATGTTTCACAACTACTAAAAGTCAACAGTAATGCTACAGAAGTTGTGGAAAAATCATTACGATTATCACAAGCTGTACTCAAATGTACCATGTTAATTATTAAAAAGCCATGATTTTGAGCAACATACAGTATTACTGTACCCATTTTGTACTCAAATGTACTAAGCTAAAGGACTAAAATATTTATCTCTAGTGCAAACTATGGAATGTTAATACTCAAATTAATTGCTATCTTGCAAGAATTCCAGCAATGCAAGTTCTATTCTGCTAAGACTAGTCAGTGACACTTTTTATGCAAAAAAATTAAACGCCCTTTATTGTATAATCTTGAGTTCCTGACCCCTCCCGCCTCCACTGATAGCTACACACCCAGTAATCTCCCCTTCCTGGCTGTCACCACCTCACCTCCCCTGTCCTCCCAGCCACAAGGCGATAAGGATTTTAGAGGATGAAGGTGGCTTTAGGCTTAAAGTTTTCTCTTATAAAATATCACTGACTTGACTTAGTAGCATTGCTGAAATCCTTTTAAGATAGCGATTAATTTGAGTACTGTACTATAAGCATCTCATAATTTGTACAAGAGATAAAAATTTTAGTCCTTTAGCCGAGTACAGTAATATGTTGCTCAAAATTATGGCTTTTTCACAGGGAAAAGTCAGTATAGCTAACCCCAGTGGTCAGGATATTATGGCAATGAACATTACAGAATATTTCAAATAAATTCTTTATTTAGTTCTGTACAAATATCTGAATTCCCATAGTGAATGCTCATAAAGCGAGGGTCCAGTGTACAGTAAACTTGTGCCATAGTACTAACACTTCATCATAAAGAGGTCCAGTAAGACCCTTTTTAACATCGCCTTCCATGGTTCGGAATTTTCGCTAATACGGAATCGATCTGGTCCCAAGCCTCCCGGATTTGTGCGGTCCAACCAGTGCATAAAAATCTATCACGCTTCACAACATCAGTTGAAAGTGTACATAAGTGTATATAAATTAGATTTTTTATACAAGTTTTCAAAACTCTATTATTTTATATACATGTATGTATACTTCAACCCCTGGCAGTGTAGGTTCTCGCCCATTAGTACTGTACTAGATGAATCATGGCCGAGTCAAGATGTATCGTGTGGGTCTGCTCCTATGCACCATCCCACAGAGGAAGCAATTGACGGCACTATACAGTACTGTACTTTATTCTAAAGACAAGGATGACCCTCCCATGCTAAATTTGACAAGTCAAGCTTAGGAGAATTTGAGTGATGATGATAAGAAATGTTGGTGTATTGGGGTTGATGGTGTAAGTCAGGGCTTATGGTAAGGTTCAACATTTTGTGACCATCCCCAAAGGTTTAATAACGACACCTCACAAAAGTGGACACGTGCCTTTAGTACCGTGATCCTGATTATTATGGCTATACTGTATAGTGCAATTTGTAGACTGATAGCAAGACAGACAAGTTTTTTATGCTTAAGTATAAAAGATGAGAAACATCATTAAAGACAATAATCACTCTTCCTACCTTGGTGCACCTTGGCTTTGGCTACTTCTATCCTTCTATTTTCACTTCAGTGCAGGCGGTTCTTATTACAGGAGGTCCCCAACTTATGAACATCAACCGATACGAACGAGGTCCCATAAGGTTAATTATTTTAAGAATCCAACATAAGTACACAACTGGTTCGTAGTATTTACGTATGAGAACTAGTTTGTGTGGCGTAGAGGTGAGGTGGAGCAGTGGGTTGGAAGTGATGCGTCGTGCAGACACACACCTTGAGGGAGTATCAATACACTTTACCCTCACAGCATTAACGTGCATGATCAAGTGCAAACTGTTGTTTTTTGCCTATAACTCTCTTTTCTTGACCTCATCATGGCTCCCAAATGCAAACCTGATGCAAGTGATAGTAGTGCATCCAAGAAAAGAAAAATAATTACAATGGAAGTGAAATTTGATGTAATTAAACGTTTTGTAAACGATGAAACACCGTCAGTCAGTGGTGAAGCGTTGGGCTTCCGTCGGTCAACGGTCAGAACAATTTTGAAAGACACCAGAAAATTCTTGAATATGTATAAAGATCTACACTAATGCTAACAAAACAAAGAAGTGGATTGTTAATTGAAATGGAAAGACTGTTAATGATATGGGTGGAAGATCAAAATCACCAGGAAAAAGCAAGAAGCTTGCACGCCGACTTAAAGGCTAAATGTGGTGGTGAAAGTAATAGGGAAGATTTTGTTCTTAATAGGCGCTGGTTTAATCGGTTCAAGGTAAGGGATATTTTTTATTATTATTAAAAAATAAATAAAATAACAAGTCTAATTTATTTGAATTAAATTGTTTTTGTCTTTTTTATTTAAATTTCATTTTTTTATTCAAGTTTGTATTAACCAGAATCCTCCCAAAAAATAAAATTGCACCATAATAGTCACCATCCACTCCAAAATGAGTATATTACATCAGCAAAGATGAGTACAGATATAACGAAATTTCGGTTAACGAACTGCCTTCCATAAGGATCTTCAATTCGGTTAACGAACAAAAAAACGAATACGAACCGATCAACATGTTTTCGCTTGCACTGGCCGGGCAACCAGCTTAAGTATCAGTCCGCCAATACATTAATCGGTTCTAGGGCTTAAATTCCTAACTATTTTAGTAAATATCAAGAAGTTTATACTATTCAATAATTTTAAGTTTAATATTCAATTTTTTAGTCATTTTAACAATTATTGAACATAATTGAAGGTAAAGTGACTAGTTTAAAGCGCAGCATCCAGCCTCTTAACACAGCAAACAGGCGTTAGTCTCTGTTTTACTGGAGGTAACATCTTGCTTGAGACTCTCTTCAACTAAACGCTTTTTTCTGTGTTTCCAAGCAAATTATTGGTCATTTTGAAATATATTTTACATATTGACAATATATAATGCAGTACAGTGTTGATTTAAAGAAAATAATCTTGAAATACACCAAGAGAACTAAAAGTTTATGGGTGAAATGGTGCCATGGGGTGACTTCTCTTCCACCCCAATGCCTTTTCTTCCTTCTCCTCCACCCCCATTGTAATTCCCATCATCATCATCATCATCATCCAGGAGCCTTCTACATACACACCTCAAAGTAAGTGAACTTTTCTACCATTTTTGTTGAATTTAGGAAATTTTTGGTGAGCTGGAACCAATTACCCAAAAACCCATTGAAACAATGGTTTCGGTTAACGAACTTTTCGGTTAACGAACGACCTTCTGGAATGGATTGAGTTCGTTAACCGAGGGGTCAATGTATTGAAAAAACTTTGTCAGAGGATGTAAAGGAAACTGAAACTCCAGAACCAAAGCGATTCATTACAAAGAAATGGCAGATTGTTTCAGGCTTATTGAAGGATTGTTTAAATTTGAACAGCAAGATACCAACACAGAAAGATTCACCAAGATTCAAAGAGGTATTACTGAATGTCTACAATACTACAGATTTATGACGAAAAGAAGTTTCAGTTCAACCATCCCAATAAAGCTCGTCACATTATCTTTTTTTTTACGGGGATTAGCTCACCCAAGCACAGGTCACCAACCTACATGGGGCCTGGGAAAAATAAAATAAAAAATTACTGAAATGAAAAAAAATTAAAAATAAAAATCAAGCAAGAAATTATACAGTGGGGTATGCTATAACGAATCTAATTGGTTCTAGAACCTTGTTCGTTATAGCATTCGTTCGTTATAGGATTAATCCGTTCCAGGCCACCAAATACAACCATTTAACACTGAAAAATATAATATAAAATTGTAAAAATTGTAAAAAAGTGCATAAATATGCATCTAAACCCCTGAAATAACCAATATCATTAATACTTGTAATAAAAAAACAATAAATTAGTAAAAAAAAAAAAAAATTTTTTTTTTTAAATAATGTTCGTTGTAGGAGTTTCGTTCGTTATAGCATTCTCAATTTTATAGGTAAAACCGTTCGTTATAGGAATATTCGTAGTAGGATCCGTTCGTTATAGCATACCCCACTGTATACATGTTGTGTTGTCAAAGAAAGAGAAACAATCGAGAGACTGCAATTGGGTGTAAATAAGGCAGAAAGTCAGTCAGATCAGCAAACCTGGGACTTGGTCTCAATTTTTGTGATGCCATATGGCAGTAGGGTCTACCATTAGACAACACATTATGCTTCCAATATCTTCCCAGGTGGTAGTACCTCCCTGTTCGGTAGCTGCCTACTACCGCCCATCTCTACAAGCGAGCCAGTCCCAGGTTTCAATACAAGTGTTAAACTTTTAATTTTTAGTTTCCTTTACTGTATTTTGTCATTCACTTTTTGCTTTTCTCTTAAATAAAGTGATTCGAGATGTAAAAAAGGACTTAGGCTATGATATAGTGTATATAGGGTATGTGTTCCGACTTAAGAACGTCCTCAGGAACGGAATTCGTTCATAACCTGGGGACCCCTGTAAACCGAACATTCCTTACGCTTCCACCATTACTAAAAGAGTTTTACTGTACCAACTGAGAGAATGGTAACAGCTAACTACTAAGCTATGTAGGTAATATTTTCTTTTTGCCACAAAATGAAGAAACTACAAGAAAATTAAATCATATAATTAAACAGGCTGTCTACTGGTTCAACAAACTGATATCCTCGGACTTTCCCAGGTTTTTTCCAGGCCCAAAAGTAAATCACAAACATTTGCAGGTTTTTAAGGTTTTCCGTGTTGGGAGTCACCGTTATAAAGTACAGCTCCTCCCCGACTTACTACCTACGACCACCCGCACTTAAGACCTGCCTCAGTCGTACCAAAATTTTGACAAATTACGTGTTTTCGATTCCCAACGTCAGTACACAAACAAAATTTTCGTTTGTTATTCCCTTTAAAATAGCTAGCAAGTGTAAAAGTGAGAATTCTCAGTGCTTAGAAGAAAAAGACAACCAGAAATTTATGTAAATCTACCCAAAGATACAGTTGAAAATTTTTTACATTATTAAAATGCACTATGTACTAAAATTTGTATCTCTTGTGCAAAATATATGACATTTATATTCAAATTGAACACCATCTTATAAGAATTCCAGCAATGTTAATTATATTCTCCCCGGTCACTTCTATGAAATTTTATAAGCACAAAACAAAAACTCAATCTAAAGGACAAATAAACAAATAAATACTTCACTTGACCTTTGGCGCTAACTTTCAAACGTATCACCTCACCTCCCCCTCCCCCATCTGCCCAGCCAGGGTTTTAGGCTCTAAGTTTTTATCTTATATAATATCACAGACTAAAGTTAGGAGAATATAATTTGCATTGCTGGAATCCTTGCAAGACAGTGAACAATTTGAATATAAACATCATATATTTTGCACAAAAGATAAAAATTAAACACCTGTAGTGATTTAAGAGTTCTAGTGTATATATATGTATATATATACTGTATAGTGATTTAAGGCCGATTTCTGGGATTTTTAAGTGTGTTTCTGACTTTATGTATTTTTTTGGCTTTACTCTGTATGTACCTTTTCTGTGAGTTGGAACCAATCTTGTTTGTTAATCAAGGGACCACTGTATTATTTTTGCATTTTCGACTTATGACCAATTCGACTTACGACCTGGATTTGGGTCCCTAAACCCGTCATAAGTCAGGGAGGAGCTGTATATACATGTACTGTAATACAGTAATCCCTCCATTAGCTGGAATCTTTGATCCCAGGAAATCTCCAATAGCCGAATTTTTTTTTTAGTATTCCGCGAAAAATCTCTCCATTCTGGGCATGGTAACAAATTTCCAGAAAATTCTGAGATTACCTCTCTGTTCTGGGCATTAGAACAAACTTCCATGAAATTGCATCATGTTTCTGACACGGGGACGCATAGATGGGTAGGCTCAGAGTGCTCGTTAGCTACAATTGGCCACTAGTCATGTGACTGCATGGGATGCTTATGATTAGCTTATGTATCTCCTCAAACTGTTGCATCATAACGCTCTTAGTTCATTGTCTGCTGCAATTGTACAGGCTTGCTTGCTCACTCACTACTTTTTTCGCAGGCAATCTGTGCTTTGCACTACTGTACCAGCATATAATCAGCCAAGAATACCATTAAAGCAGTTACGTATACTGTACTGCACATTTAGTAAGTGTGAAAATACTAAATGTACCGTACAGTCACTAAAAAAACTATCTCTATCTGAGGGTCGATGAATTTCAAAAGGAACACTGCGACTCCTGTTGTCTCGGCAGGGTTGCCCAAATCCTTCGTCCGTGTCATATTTTTTCAACACATTATTGTAAAGATAGTTTTTTTAATGAATATACAATACTGTACATAGCAGAGTGGACAGTGTATGTGAGTGAATAGAGAGTGTATGTACAGTAAACAGTGCATGTACAATCCCTCCTTTATGGAGGGTGGTGAGTGACTGCAACACTTGCTACAGGAGATGGTACAGGACAAAGGCAAGCCAACCTGTATCATCATTTGGCCTGCCTGCATCACAAGTTCAATACGACAGTATCTGTTAGTGAGTACAATATAGTGTGTACAGTAAACATTTTGTTTAATTACAATATATTGTATGTGTACAGTGGGTTTAAATAAATAAATAAATACAGTTCCGTGTCTGTCATTGCAAGTTACAAGGATTAGACTCTCAGGAACTTTCCCCAACACTTGGAAATATTCCGGGGATGATAAAACTCGTCTCCATACCCGGAAGTCTCTCAATCCTGGAGCCACTCTACATCAATTATTCCAGCTAACAGGGATATCACCGTATTCATTTTTTTTAAATCTCTTATTACCTGGAGTGAAATGTTTCTCGGAAACATTCTTCTTGGTTGGAGTCTCAATTTTAAAAAAACCAGCATCAAATACAGAAGTTTCTGCTTTCTCTGTCCTCTTCTTGTCTTGACCTGTAAGAAAATATAAATAATGTAGTACTGTACTATGAAGTTAACCATCCACAGGGCACCATTTTAAATCTCATAATTTGAAGCACAATATTTATGACTGCCTGCATATAAGGCAAGTAAAATACGGTAATTAATTATGAGGTAAAAATACATGTGCTACAGTAGTATAAAGATGAAGAATGATTCGTGTACATTGGTAAGAAGCTGATACAAATAAAGAAATGATTATAAAGGTCTTTTTATACTGTACTTAATTTTGTGAAGCATAAAACTTTTCAGGAATGGATCAATCTCATAAAATGAAGAAATACTATATATTTTCTGGAACAGTACTGTACTCGTTTAATTTTGTTCCCACAAAATTTTATTAAAAGATGCCTCCAGGAATGTTATCTTAAAATTTTCTTGCCACTGATACAATATGATTTGATTAACATTGTTTTGCCTATTTTATCATGTTTTCCAGGCATATATCACCAATGTAAAGAAGAGGACTTACTGTGCTCTGCTGCTTCCTAGATGTGTGTCCCCACTGTAGTGCATCCCCCATCCTTTCTATCTCCCTGCTTTAGTCTCCTCTCTTTTACTTCCCATTTTAGCACACCCACTCAGGTCAGCTCTGTCTGACACTTTTCATTTCTACACTACCTCCTAATACAGTACTGTATCTGTTATTTCATATTATCTAAATCTTTTTTACCGGGTACCTCACATTTTGCTATTACGCCCATGATTTCTGGTCTTTAGATACACCATAACAGTAATATAGAGTAATTGAAACATAATATATCAAGTATGTACAGAATGTTTCACTTTGTACAAATTTATCACAATAAAGATTAGTGTACAGGTACAAAAAAATTCAGGTTTGGCAAGTTGAAAAAACTTGTAATATGAAAAACATCAAAAGTGCTTACTCAGATAAATTCTGTCCCTAAACATAACATACACAAGCATAAAAACTCAAGTTTGTATGCATAGTAAATTGATATTCAGCATTAGTATAATTATTGTGTGAGTTTATAGTTCATCTTGTTTACTTGTTTACATGAGACTTAGAAGTAGCTAGGTCTAAAAGGCATTTTAGCATCATTTTCCTCTTGCACAAATCTCCTAACATATTTTCATTTTTTTCTTTGGGGCGGGGGTATTTGTTTCCCTTGATCTACTTAATACACACTTGGGAGGGTAGGAAAGATAATTCACATAAAAGGTAGAAATAATCAATTTCAACATCAACACACCGGTGTTATATGAAATAAACACAAAATTCTGCTAATAAAGGAAAAACTAAGCTAATGGATTTTTGTGAATCATAATTTTCTCTATACATTGACATTCAAATCACAAAATTACAAGACAAAACTTTTAACTACAATGACTTAACCCCCAAGAACAAAGTCATTGTACTTGGGTCATAGGTCATTGTATTCAAAGGAGTAAGATATACTAAAGGGTTTAATTCATTATAATCATGGAAAAGATCAGTGTAATTGCAGGATTAAGGAAACAATATCCCTACTATTAACTTACCACTTAGTGATGTCTTCTTTAGAGTCACAGCAGTTTTGCGTGGTTTAATATCAGTAGCTCCCCTCAACTGGCAGTTTTCAATTGCAATGGAATACTTATTTTGATCTGATTCCTATGAAGAAATTCAGAATTAAATTTCAGAATTAAATTTTTACCTTAGCATTATTATTGAAACTTTCTACTGGTTGTCTAAATAAGCTTAAAAATAGTTGGGGAATACATAAAACATGGAATAGATAAAATGTACTGTATCCCCACAAAACATAGATTTGGTTGTAAAGTTACTCCAATACAGTATCTATATTACCATAAACAATAATAATTGAATATAATACAGAAACATTAAAATAAACTACAGTATTATCTTTATATTGCACATACATTATGCAAAGCATTTCATATTATTGTACTTGTCTATACAGGTATGTGACTGTTTATCTGGCATCCCGGTAACTAAAATGGTTAAAAAACTCCTCGCGCCTTGCAATATTTCACTATATTTACTGTTATTATTAGTGTTTGCTGATATAATAGCGCTTAATAGTGATTAATCATGGTGTTGTAGCCAGGTTAGACTCGTCACTGTAACCACCAGGCCACTGGGGCAAGCTGTGAGGTGTTACGTTCGTTTTTTTAACTCGTATTTTCAGGTAGATATACGTAACTTTCTTCATTTAATTTTATTCAAGTTACATGCATACACCATCCTACATACATATTATGAAAAAAATTAAAGATATAATTGTCCTTGAGGACAAACACATAAAAGGAATATACATTTATTTGCACATGAGTTAACTGGCTCAGTGGGGGAGCAGGAGGACGGTGCAGAGCATAGGGGGTGGGGAGCATTGCTAGGAAATCGATGTCCCTGCTGGTCTCTTTGCTATGAGGAAGCAGGGAGTGTATGCAAATGGCAACTGTGTTAAACTTTCAATTGGCCTTTATTTACTGGTTTAGCAATAAAGTACACTCTTTTTTGTTGTAACCTATTTATTGGTATTATTTTTATTTATTCCTCACATTTTCTGGTACTTTATAGTAAAGTCTCCGATAACAACGGTTCGACCAACAACTTTTCATATTTAAGACCCCAGTTAATTTAGGACCCAATTCAATTTATGTCCTTATTTAAATCGTATTTACAACCAAAATATAATAAAAATAAAATAAAATTACATTTTCATATAAATAATAACTAAATCCCAATATGTATTATAGGGGAAAAAAAAAACATACTGTAAAAAAATGAAGAGCGCCTTGTGCAAAGAAGCTGCCTAACTAATGAGTGGTAATGCACATCGCCAGTGAACAACAGTCGGAGCTTGGCAGTCCCTTTGTTTTCACGCATCTGAACAGGAACAGGAGAAAAACTTTCTCAGGTTTCTTACAGCATTTTTGCATCCCTATTCAACATGAGCAAGAGAGCAAGTGATGGTAGTGTTTTTTTTTCAAAAGCTAATAGAAAGTGTATAAGCTTAGCAGAGAAACTAGATGTGTTAAAACGATATGAAAAAGGTGAGAGGTCTGTGGATATTATATGAAGCAAGCAATGAACATATTCTCTGAAGTGGATCCATTAACAGAACAAAGCATTAAAATTTAAATAAATGCAAATGACCTATACATAAAGATGTACGTATAATGAGAAAAGAAAGCGGCTATGCAAGGTTCTTTCGACAGCTTTATTATTCGAAGGCCTAAACCATCAACTTCAGCTACACCATCAATGCAGCATCATAAGCAGTTTCAACATCAACTTCAGGTTCAGTAGCAGTTTCAGCAACAGCCATGACATCTTTATGGAAAGCTACAGCTTCGATACTGTCGACCATACCATCCTCATTTCAAAGCTTGAAAATTACGGCATTAGGGGCCTGTCCCACAATTGGTTTACCTCATATCTGTCCAACAGGATGCAGTATGTCTGCTATAATAATCACCAATCTGACTCCTCGCCAATCTTGTATGGCGTCCCCCAAGGTTCCATTCTCGGTCCAGTACAGTACTGTTTTTGTTGTACATAAACGACATAGTCCACGCCAGCACACTCATAAAATGCAACTTATTTGCAGACGATAGTAATCTCTATGCTAGCAACTCAGACCTCCATTCCTTGATGAGAACTATGAACACTGAATTGACTAAAGTCAGGACCTGGGTAATATGTAATAAACTGACCTTAAACCTTGAGAAAACCCACTACACAATCTTTCACAGAAGGAAAAACTTACCCCCAGACTTGGACTCCCTGTACCTTGGTAATACAGTCCTCAAACGCGAACAAAATACTAATTCCTCGGAGTTATTGTTGACGAGAAACTTAACTGGAGAAACCACATACAAGCCATTCACAGTACAGTAGAAGTCCAAAAATCTGGACTGCTTGGGGATTGGGTCGGTCCGGATTTTTGGATTTTCCGGATTCTTAGGCAGTACTTTTAAAATTAAAATTTAAGGAGGAATAAAGAAGAGATGAACAGGTACAGTTTGATAGTTTATTCATTAGCAAATAAAGCATGCTTCATTTATCAAAATGTGCAGTTTTAAAGAAAAATAAAGTCAGCACTAGACAAAAATGTAAACAAACTGTCTAATACCTTGACGAGTCTTGAAATTCCTAAGCCATCCATCACTAAATGCGCACTCTGATTCAATGTTCATTTGCTCCTTAAAAGACTTTGCTTTGGCAATAAGCATCGGCCCAGAAATTGCCATACCTTCTGATCGTTTTAACAAAAACCATTCGTGCAACACTTTATCAAGATTTTCTAATTTGGGCCAATGTAAACTTTTTCTTTCAGCAATTTTAATGTAAGGCTCAGAAGGAGCTGTGAATTCTAGAATTTTATTCTCTGCCTTTTTTTATCATAAATTGTAGACTTTCCAATGTTGTATGTTTAAATTAGAACAGCATTGCTCACATTACATTCTAGTTTCTTAATTATTTCAAGTTTGTCACTCAATTTCAATGTGTTCTTCTTTCTCTTCACACAACGACGTTTATCTACTTTAGGGGCCATTATTATGGGCTTGTACTCTATACATGGAAAGAGTAGGACTCAAAATTACATACGTTGTCACAGTTTGATTGCTTGTTTTAAAGTGGCGATCGTGTGGTCGTTTGGTGTCGCTGTGCAGCTGTGGCATTCAAGCATGCACACATACACACAAAAGATTTATAGTGCCTCAAATTTTACATTTCAGTTCAAGCTAATTACAAAACTAACAAAATTAGCTACCTATAATTTACAATTACTTTTATTATTAGAATTATGTAAATTAATTTTTTAAAGCAACTCCATTCATTCACATAACCCACAAAAGCCCGCTAAATTTAAAAAGTTTGAGTTTTCGAAAAGTCCGGATTCTCGGGTGGTCCGGATTCCTGGCATCCGGATTTTTGGACTTTCAATGTAATGTCAATAAACAGTGCAGTATCATGTATCGCCCTCGACAGTCACTCACTCTCACAGCAATGAAAGAAATCTATCATGATCTTGTTTACCAACACCTGATACACTGTCACACACTATGAGGGGCCTCTGGCTCTTCAAAAACACAATCTCTGGTTACTGCACAAAAGAGAGTTGTACGGACAATGACCTACTTGAAAAAACAGATCACACAAACGAAAAATTTGCAATATTGAAAATGTTAAAATTCAAAGATATTAACACCTACTGCTGTGCCCTCTTTGTTTACAAATCTATCAATCACCTGCTTGACAATAATTATTTCCAGTTCGGAATAATGAGAGATACAACTTAAGGCACCCAAAGCTACTAAGACCACCCCCCATGCGCTCCTCTCAGTCCCAGACCTCCATAAACTATCACGGTGTGAAGGTGTGGAACAACTTACCCCACCCATCAGAGCAAAGACTACGCTCCCTTCCTTTAAATCATCTCTTAAAAAATATTTATTGTCTAAGTATCAATATTTCTTGTAACACCTACTATATTTACAGTACCTGCTTTTATTGTACCATCAAAACCGTTTTATCGGAAATTATCATATAAATAGATAAGTAACTACCATTGCAATAAACATAATTGCCAACTAGACATAATCCTAACAGCTCTGTCCTCTTGTTCAACCTTATTACTGTACAGCCCATGTTGTACTGCTCCCCCATTATATTTATGTTTTTCAATTCCACTGTAATTTAAGTGCATATATATATATATATATATATATATATATATATATATATATATATATATATATATATATATATATATATATATATATATATACACACACACATATATACATATATACACATACATACATACATACATACATACACATACACATATACATATATACATATATATATATACACACATATATATATATATATATATACACACACACACACACAGTCAACCCTCGCTTTACGCGGTCCCACATTCCACGTTTCCAAGTTTACGCAGTACCCTGCCGAAACCGAGATGCTCACATTCCGCGGTGCGTGTACCCCTTTACGCGGAGAGTGTCCGGCTCGACGCTATTTTTAGATTCGCCCCACCCGCCTGCTCCCGCCTCCGTCTCCACCTGGGCAAGCCGAGCGGTAAGGTTGCGCAGTGCATGTCTCTGTTGCGTTATCAGTGACGTCATATGACGTATCGGACTGTGATTGGCCATGCATCCCTACCTTCCTCCGCTGCTAGCTGTAATTGGTTTAAAGTAAAATGACGTGTCCACCCGGGGGAGGGAGGGAGGGAGGAAAGACGACGCTTGACCTAGCCGCGGCAGTTTCATCCCTCCACGCCACACCGTGTAATCGTGCATCCATTGTTCTGTAAAATGGCTTCTGCCGGACCACCACCCTCAGAGAGAAACCTTGCCTTACCTGGACCCAGCCGCCCTAAGCCAAATAAGACACAACGTTCCTTAAGCTACGAGGTGAAGTACAAGATCATCCAAGAGTTGGAGAAAGGAAAAAGACAGGTTGATTTGGCGCGTCAGCATGGTGTGAACGAATCTACGATCCGGACGATAAAGAAGGATGCAGCCAAGATAAAGGAGCACATGAAGATCACAAAATCTACAGGTGCTTCTCAAGACGGAAAAATTACTTGTGAGCTACTTGGTGCGTCAGGCGCG